GGTATGACGCTACAAGCTTGGCACACCTGTATTTGGGGAGTTTCTCTCATTCTTCTCTGTAGATCGTCTCAAGCTCTGTCAGGATGGATGGGGAGCGTCACTGCACAGCTATTTTCAGGTCTTTCCAGAGATGTTAGATCGGGTTCAAGTCCGGGCTCTGGCTGGGCCACTCAAAGACATTCAGAGATAATTCTATAATTTTCGCATGACACGATCACTTTGCCTACTCTTAATTATTGCATAATATGTTGGTGTGCATAACCCGTGCTTTAAAACATACATTTAATTTCTCTGCCGTCAAGAGGAGGGCTACAATTTGTCTTTTTACCCGGTTAGTGGTGGGGGCCTCCAACCAAATCTTGCTTAGGGCCCCCAAAAGGCTATAGCAACACACTGGTCACTCCCATTTAACAACTCTAGATCGCTTTGGCACAGTAGGCATCAAGTCACTAAATGTCTAAATAAGCATGTGCATTGTAAACCACTGTTGAAATATAAAGTACGGCAAAGTGTAATCACAAGACCTTCAGAAAATTGTTTTAAAAAAGGGATGAACCAGTTTACGCTCCATTCACGTTCCCAAACAGCTTGTGGTTGTGTGTAATATGCATTGTAATGCAGTTTAAATGGTCTGTGTGTATCATTCGTTCAAATATCCTGTTTTGTAACAGTCACACATGTAGAATAAACAGAGAACCTGTAGCTACACATACAGAGATCAGCCATTGATTGGCACAGACACCCTGCAAATTACTCAGATGATTGAGGAGGACGGAGGAGAGAACTCACTGACCTCTGCGGATTCCTTCCAGAGGCTAGAAGAAGGCTACCAGCAGGTTCATGAGCACGGCCAGGTTGAATGAGATGCTGCTCCAGAAGTACATGTTGCGAGAGCACCAGTATAGAATGGGCTGGGCTGGAGAGGGGACGAGGAGTGCCAACACACACAGTCAACAGTATCACTTCTACACCAGACAACCACACAGTGCATTCACTACTACAACTACACCACCACCACAATACTGCTGCACTCACAAACTTAGACAGGATTCACAGGAGATGCACATACACATACAGTATCTATTGCACATGTCCCAAAGCCACTCCTAAGTTGTCTTGGCTGTGTGCTTAGGGTCGTTGTCCTGTTGGAAGGGGAACCTTCGCCCCAGTCTGAGGTCCTGAGCGCTCTGGAGCAGGTTTTCATCAAGGATCTCTCTGTACTTTGCTCCATTCATCTTTCCCTCTATCCTGACAAGTCTCCCAGTCCCTGCCACTGAAAAACATCCCCACAGCATGATGCTGCCACCACCATGCTTCACCGTAGGGATGGTGCCAGGTTTCCTCCAGATGTGACACTTGGCATTCGGGCCAAAGAGTTCAATCTTGGTTTCATCAGACCAGAGAATCTTTTTTGTCATTGTCAGAGTCCTTTAGGTGCCTTTTGGAAAACTCCAAGAGGGCTGTCATGTGCCTTTTACTGAGGAGTGGCTTCTGTCTGGCCACTCTACCATAAAGGCCTGGTTGGTGGTGCTGCAGAGATGGTTGTCCTTCTGGAAGGTTTTCCCATCTACTGTGTTCTTGGGGACCTTCAGTGCTGCAGAAATGTTTTGGTACCCTTCCCCAGATCTGTGCCTCGACACAATCCTGTCTAGGAGCTCTACAGACAATTCCTTCGACCTCAAGGCTTTGTTTTTGCTCTGACATGCACCGTCAACTGTGGGACATTATATAGACAGGTGTGTGCCTTTCCAAATCATGTCCAATCAATTGAATTTACCACAGTTGGACTCCAATCAAGGATGATTAATGGAAACAGGATGCACCTGAGCTCAATTTCTAGTGTCATAGCAAAGGGTCTGAATAATTTCCCTGGGGGGGGGGGGGGGGGGGGGGGGTTCGTATAAATTTGCAAAACTTTCAATAAACCTGTTGTCGCTTTGTCATTATGGGGTATTGTGTGTAGATTGATGAGGAAAGGGTTTTATTTCATCCATTTTAGAATAAGGCTGTAACATAACAAAATGTGGAAAAATGGAAGGTGTCTGAATAGCTAGCTAGTCCATAAGGCATTCTATTACCAGCAAAGGGGAGACTATCTATGGATCACCGGCTTTCCGTCTGTTAGACACACGCGATATCTCAGTCACCACTGTTCCGATTTTGACGAAAGTTGATGCGTCTTGGGGCGCCATAGAGATTTGCCATTTACAAAATTACAATGATTGGCCCAAGCGAAAGCGGGAGCTCTATAGTAATTAACTGAGATTCGTTAGTCACAAGCGATATCTCAATTGGCCCATTATTTCCTTTTTGGATATGTCGTAGTAAATATATAATGTTATAGCTTGGTCTGACTAAAATCTTGTGCATGACCCATCTTGTGTTGGGCCTTTGTATTTAATACAATGCACAAAAGACTTCTATCTTGTCAGCCTTATCAGCAGGTGGCTATGGACAACACCCACGCCATAGGTCTCTCAGTTCTTCCAACTCACGAGTTCTTGCTCTGAGGACACACACACACACACCCCCACACACACACACACATACACACACACACACACACACACACATACACACACATACACACACACACACACATACACACACACACACACACACACACATACACACACACACACACACACACACACACATCATCATTGTTAAACACACACACGCACACACACACATCATCATTGTTAAACACACACACGCACACACACACACAAAAATCCCCTTCTCTTAGGCTGAACATCTGAAGACAGAGAACCCGACTCAGAGCCAATGCAACAGTGATACTAACCTGGAGGGGACCTCGCCCAACTCATCAGGACCAATCAGAAGATCAGAACTACTAGAATCAACCTACTTCATTTTATTGTATAAAATGTCAGCACACAATGTTTAGGGGCTCTCTCAGATATCTCCCTACGAGATTGACGAACGGGTCCGTGCACGCGATTCCAGATATCTTTACCTCTGAATAAACTGCCTTATATTATACAATTATCCACCTTGTCCAAAAGTCTCTACTTGGTCTCCGTTCTCCAGTAAACTTGTTTTATCAACAGATATTCTGTTCATTTGATATTGTGATGAACATAAATGTACTTTAAACATTTAAAGGGTGCATTTTTTCTTGCCCCACTGTCATTACAATGAACAGACCCTCAAGGGATTTTATGCATAGAACCTTAAAAATGTGCTTACTCTCCTGTTTTCTGTGACCTATTTGTAAGGCACGTATTGTTTATCACATGTTCTCCCTCGTTTTTCCTTATGTTTGATTGGAATTTGTATAATAATAGAATTACAAAAATGTGCATTCGTGTATGAATTAATACAAATAGTGTGCGTGTGTGTGTGTGTTAGTTTGAGTGACTGCGTGTGTATGGGAGGGTTGTGGAGTAGTAACTGATTACATGTAATTTGTGGGAAGTTGTGCGAACTTATGTTTTTGATTTCACATTGGTTTTTGGGAACAAGTCCATACGTTTCCTGACTGGTAAAAACCGTTTTTTAAATGTTCTGAGAACAGAAGTGAAAATGTAGCCTGTTCTGGGAACATTTATTTTTAGGTTGCAGGGAGGTTCTGAGAACGTTTTACTCTGGTTCCTTGAAAGTTTTCCTGGGAGTTTTTATTAACGATCTGAAAACGGAAATTATAGGTTATTTGGAGGTTTGCCATGTTTTCTTTTATGCATACAAAGCTGTTCATTTTAGTCTATTCAAACCACGTGTCAAACTCATTCCACGGAATGTCTGCGGGTTTTCGCTTCACCCTTGTACTTGATTGATGAATTAAGGTCACTAATTAGTAAGGAATTCCCCTCACCTGGTTGTCTAGGTCTTAATTAAACCAAAAACCTGCAGACACTTGGCTCTCAGTGGAATGAGTTTGACGCCCCTGATTCAAGTAGACCCCATTTCAAAGGAAACAAGCACTCATTAAGATCAGGTGTAGCCAATTAGTGGGCGCGGCCAGCACACCTGAACACACTTAACTAGATAGAGGATAGAGAGAGTTTTGTTGATGCTGAGAACGGAATGTATAAATTTTTAAATAACATTCTTAGAAAGTTCTCTGAACTTTACTAAAGTTTTCTTGTGTTTTTTTATGGAAAGTTTTAACATTCTCAGAACAATTTGAGAACATGACTTTAACTAGAACCATGAGGAAACATTATGCTGAAGTACTGAAATTCCCACAGAAAAAAAAAAATCTTAACGTTCTCTAAACTAGCCTATTTGAGAACATTCCCAATGTCAAACCAGTTGGAGAACGTTCTTAGAACAGTACCTAACTTTTAGGAAACTTTCTGTTAAAGTAGCCTAATGAAATACCAAGAAAATAACATTTTTTGTCAAGTTCCTTAAATGTGCTGAGAATGTTCCAAAGCCAAGCAACCATCCTGCACCATTCCCAGAAAGTTAATAACCATATGACAACCATATGCTCACCAAGCTGTAAGAAACATATGGTTATCATAATGTTATGTTAGCTGGGATGTAATCTGATTACAAAAAAACTAACTTTAATAAGTTACATTACCTGCAAAAATATTGTAATTAGATTACAGATACTTTTGAAAAAACTAGATGATTACTTGGATTACTTTTAAATTCACTAAGGATGTTTGTTCCACCTGAGCGAGTCTGACCACAAGTCAGAGACCACTATGATGACACACCAAATGTATTTGATGGATTATTTTTGTCTTCTTCTAATGCCTCTTAAAGTGAAAGTAATCCAAAGGAATCAGATTACGTTACAGATTTGGGTAATCCAGAAAATACATTACTGATTATAATTTAGGACTGGTAACTAGTAACTGTAACGGATTAAGTAGCCTTCCCAGCCTTGTTTGTGGGTTGGTGTGACAGCCTGTTCTATACTATTCAGCCTGTTCTATACTGTTGTTCGTTTTGTCGACCTCATTGCAGACAGAGCAGAAGAAGATACAACGTGTCCATACTACAGATAACCAGCAGTAGAAATGCCTCGCATTGAGAATGACATCAAGTTGGACTTCAAGGACGTGCTTCTCCGTCCGAAACGAAGCACACTCAAGTCCCGTAGTGAGGTGCATAAATCCTTTCTTTTTTCCTGTTATGTATTGTTTATGTATTGTTCTGTTGTATTCAAATACCTGTTTGTACCAGACAAACACAGCGTATCACTCTTCAACAATGATTAAGCCTTTTCCTCTAACTATAACATGTCTATCTGTCTTTCTGTCTGTTTGCCTTTCTGCCTGTCTGTCTGTCTGCCTGTCTGTCCTTCTCCTCCAGGTGGACCTGATGAGAAGTTACACCTTCAGGAACTCCAAGGGAAGCTACAGAGGAATCCCCATCATTGCAGCCAACATGGACACTGTCGGCACCTTCAAGATGGCTCTGGCTTTGTCCAAGGTATAGAGATATAAATAGTGTGTGTATATACATCATTGGATATAGATAGCAAAAAATCTACAAAAAACAAAACACTTCAATCATCAACCTCCTCCCTCAGTCAAACCTTCTAATACTAAACAACCTATCTCTACTCCGACAAATATCCCCTCCTGGCTCACATATAAAGCAGACTACAAATCCAGTATATGTCTATTAGAAGTCTCTGTACACATAGGTTTTATAACTTTAAAGGTGTTTTTAAAATAAGTGTTCTTGTCTCTCTTTCTCCCCCCAGTTCACTCTCTTCACTGCCATTCACAAGCACTATTCAGTAGATGACTGGAAGGAGTTTGCAACAATGAATCCAGAATGTGTACCGGTACATTCAAACAATATCAGCTGTAATCCAATATATGACTCCTTGTAATATCTGTATGACAAGACTTCTCTTATTTTTTAATGATGTGTTAATTTGGTCTCTCTCTCTATCTATCTATCTATCCCTGCCTCTCTCTTAGAGTGTGGCAGTCAGCACAGGGACAAGTGAAGGGGACTTTGAAAGGCTGGGTGAGATCATAGCCGCTGTGCCTCAGCTCCAGTACATCTGTGTGGATGTGGCCAATGGCTACTCTGAGCACTTTGTCCACTTTGTTAAAGACGTACGTCAGAAGTACCCAACACACACCATCATGGTCAGTGACTCCTCTACGCTCTCTTTTATATTGGGCCAACTCTGGTTATGCTTTTGGAGTGTTTGTACGTTGATGATATTGATGATAGTCGATACGTCTCAAATCACGCTATTCCTGAGGGCTCTTGTCAAGGTAGTGCACTCAGGGTGTCAACTGAGGCCATATAGGACTCTAGTCAAAAGTAGTGCACTATAGAGTAGTGCACCAGTTAAGACACCGAAAGTGAATGTGTTGTCTTTGCCACAGGCGGGGAATGTGGTTACCGGGGAGATGGTGGAGGAGCTGATCCTCGCTGGCGCTGACATCATCAAAGTGGGCATCGGACCAGGTGACGTCATGAACTGGTGACTCTGTCACGTTGCTGTTTTGCTGGATCGTCATACCTCATACCTTTTTTGCAATTGATTGAATTGAGGCCTTAATGTGATCATACTGATAAACGCCTAACTTTCTGTCTGTCTGTAGGCTCTGTGTGCACCACCCGTAAGAAGACAGGGGTGGGTTATCCCCAGCTGAGCGCTGTGATCGAGTGTGCAGATGCTGCACACGGCCTGGGCGGACACATCATCTCTGTGAGTCTCCATTGTTATTACACACTTATAGTTATACACTCACATCCTTTTGGCTCAACAGTCTTTAGAAAACATTTATACACCCTGAACCTCATCATACACACATACATATACAGTGAGCTCCAAAAGTATTGGGACAGTTTTTTTTTGGGCTCTGTACTCCAGCACTTTGGATTTGAAATGATACAATGACTATGAGGTTAAAGTGCAGAATGTCAGCTTTAATTTAAGGGTAATTTCATCCATATCTGGTTAACCGTGTTGAAATTACAGCACTTTCTGTACATAGTCTCCCCATTTTAGGGGACCAAAAGTATTGGGACAATTTCACTTATGGTTTATTCAAGTAGTCAAAAGTGTCCTATTTGATCCCATATTCCTAGCAGACAATGATTACATCAAGCTTGTGACTCTACAAAAATGCAGGATGCATTTGCTGTTTGTTTTGTTTGTGTTTCAGATTATTTTCTGCCCAATACAAATTAATGGTAAATCATGTATTGTGTCATTTTGGAGTCACTTTAAATAAGAATAGAATATGTTTCTAAACACTTCTACATTCATGTGGATGCTATCACTCATCATTATTCACAATTAATTCAGGCCTATCCGTAATCATTGTAGCATCCACATTAATGTACAAGTATATAAAAACATTATATTATTATTTACAATAAAGTGATTCCAAAATGACACAATACATTATTTACCATTAATTTCTATTGGGTACAAAATAATCTGAAAGACAACCAAAACAAACATTAAATGCATCCAGAAAGTTTGGAGAGTCACAAGCTTGATGTAATCATTGTCTACTAGGAATATGGGACCCAATACTAAAACTGTCACTACTTTAATACACATATAAGTGCATTTCTCCCAATATATTTGGTCCCCTAAAATGGGGGGACTGTGTACAAAAAGTGCTGTAATTTCTAAACAGTTCACCCGATATGAATGAAAATACCCTCAAATTAAAGCTGACAGTCTGTACTTTAACCTCATAGTCATTGTATCATTTCAAATTCAAAGTACTGGATTACAGAGCCAAAACAACGAAAGATGTGTCACTGTCCCTGTACATACAAAGATTGTTGCATAGACAGAGACTTTGCCTGAAGATGCATGGTATCTTATTTTTCCCTTTCTCTCTCATAAAGGATGGTGGATGCACTTGCCCAGGTGATGTTTCCAAGGCTTTTGGTGAGTTTTGTAACAGTCAACTGTGATTTATCTGCTCACAGAGCATACAGTACTAACTTTAATCAGCCTTCAACCATGTACAGAGACTCTACAACAGAGTACTATGTGTCTGACCCCGGCTGGATTTGCTCAGCATTTTGATTGGCTGTGTGCTGTGGTTGTGTGTGACTCACAGGTGCCGGGGCGGACTTTGTGATGCTGGGGGGGATGCTGGCCGGCCACTCAGAGAGCGGGGGCGAGGTCATCGAGAAGAACGGGAAGAAGTACAAGCTGTTCTACGGCATGAGCTCTGACACGGCCATGAAGAGACACACCGGGGGTGTGGCCGAGTACAGGTCAGAGATGTTACTGGCCGCAAAGCAGGAAATGAGCAGCTTTAAACTTTGTAGCACACTTTAGGGAAAGAATAAGAGTAAGTAGTAAGTAAGTTTTGGACAAGTAAGCCTTGTCTAAATAAGTATCCTTACCCTTGCAACAGTAAGTAAGTAGGTCTGCCAGAACAGCCCATAGGCCAGGAGCCTATCTCCTGTTTCTGTAGCGTAATGCAGCTTGATGTACAAGTACACCCCCTGGACAGGACTCTAGTCTGGGGAAGCATAAGTGATCACGAAACCGTTACCTCTTCTTCCCCCAGGGCATCTGAAGGGAAGACGGTAGAGGTGGTTTACAAGGGTCCCGTGGACGAGACCATACGGGACATCCTGGGTGGGGTACGCTCCACCTGCACCTACGTGGGTGCAGGGAAGCTCAAGGAGCTCAGCCGCAGGACCACCTTCATCAGGGTCACCCAGCAGCTCAACACCGTCTTTGGGAACGATAACTAGGCAAGGCCCAGGCTGGTTCCTTATCTAAGAGTCTTATTTAAGCAATAAGGCATGAGGGGGTGTGGTATATGGCCATATACCACAAACACCCAAGGTGCCTTATTGCTATTATAAACTGGTTACCAACATAATTAGAGCAGTAAAAATAAATGTTTTGTCATACCCGTGGTATACGACCTGGTATACCATGGCTGTCAGCCAATCAGCATTCAGGGCTAGAACCACCCAGTTTATACTTACGTTTTAAACATATTTGACTTATTCTAAATTGCCATAAATGTAAATGTCTTGGTAATAAGTGAACTGAGGGCACTTTAGGACGTATTTCCAGGTTTTTCTTTTGTGTCATCTTGCTCAATCATTCCCATTCAGCTCTGGGGGCCTTGAGTACAGACTTCTCTCTATGTCCAATATTATGTACCACGTCCTCTCATTTCACATGAGCTTGCTCTCTCTCTCTCTTTACCTCTCAATCCCCCATTTTCCTAACACTTCTATGCACATCCCTGTTTTTCAAGGCATCTCACCGCCATGCTGTTTGAAAACCATATGCCATAAATTAATATACAGTATTTCACTGTATAAAGTATGTACTATATCAAGATTGTGAGCCTTTTAAAGTGTAAACCCAAATTAAAAACATCTGCTTTTATTGACACTTCTGAGTCAAGTGGACTGGCTACATACAGTGAAGAGATGCAAATGTTCATAATAATGACTAATATAGTTAATTTTAATCTTAAAATATTTCAGATTATTTTATCCTTTTCAAAATAACTTAAATATATATTGCACTTTATGATTTGCAAGCATTTTTAGAGGATATAGTATTCCAGTTGTTTTCCCCATAGCAAGTGAGTTTTTCTGCTATTCTAATTGGACCAAATATTAAAGCGAGGAGGAAATAGATACTGAAGGAAAATACTGACAAACAGGTGTTTCATGGACTGTACAGCTACAGTAGCAACTCAGTCAGTCAAATTACACACAGTATGTTGAGGGGAAACTGTTGTGGAATACAAAATGTAGGGTTGCAAAATTCCTGTAACTTTCCCCAAATTCCCAGGTTTTCCAGAGGTCCGGAGTGGAACATGGAAGATTCCCATAATATGGCAGAAAAAGCAGGATATCCAGAAATCCAGGAATTTCTGGAGAACCTGGGAATTTTGGGAAAGGTGAACTTACTGTTCATTTCTCACTTTTGTCAATTAGACTAGATAGAATCTCCATGCAATCAGTATTCACATTATTACTTTACTGGGTATTCAGTTACTTTGTGAGAATGTTGTCTCTGTCTATGCATTATTATGTTAAGGTGTGTAACTGACTAGTTTTCATTATGTCTGTATATTTACTTTACTTCATAGTGTTTTCCAGGATGATTCCTTTTAATGTCTTTTGGTATTATTCAAACTAGTCATGCAGTTTTTAAGCCAAATGTTTTGTTGTTTCATTCTTGTCAGTTCTGACCAATAAAGAGCATTCCTTTAGATTTGTTTCAGAGTTTGTTTTAGAACAGTGGTCACCATCGACCCGTCCATCTCCAAGGCATTCCTAGTCGATCACCAAACATTTTTGTAAAAATAACAATGATAAAGCGCAGAAACACGTCATCGGGTCTAACGGTCGACTCGCGCCGAACTGCGCATGTGCAGGCCGTGAAATCAAAAGCACTCCTTCGATATAAAGTCGTTTTTTACGAAAATTAAAACGTGTCCGTTTGTCACTTTCACGACGTAGGAGTAATAACATGTTCAACTACTTAAGACATTGTCTTGAATCTAGTTTATACTTTTTAGAATTCGAGAAAATTAACAGCGAAGGAATAATTATTTACTTAAATGACTGACTTCTCAAACCCTAAACCCCGGCCTGGTCTGCTTGGTGTGCTTCTCAAGCGTTCCCGAAAATCTTGCGATGTTGCTTCTCTGGGTTTAGAAACTCTGTGATAAAGCCTTGCGTTCCTATTTAATTTTTTTCTTTCGCGTTGTTGGAGGTAGGTGCACTTGATTGAGCAGCCCTAGCGACAGGACGGCAAAGTGTTCCCATTTTGAACCATTTAATGTGTCTGAAGATAGAACTCCGCATACCCAGCAGGCACAGAGAGCAAATCAAGTGCACATAGAGGTCTACAACTGGCCAATCAGATAGCCTAGATCACCGTCTCTGCACAGTTTCCTGGAGTTATAGACTGTAGAAAATAAGCGTGGAATGCACAGCAAAGTTGATACTGTGAGATTTCAAAACGTTTAAAACCATGACGAGAGAGACTCAGCGAATACAGCTAAGAGGTACTATTTTTATGAGTAAGTTCATGTTTAAGTTGTTATTCAGCACCATCAACACATTAAGCCGTAAAATGTGCGTTCTCCCTACTTCCACTCACGCTACAACCAGCACTGCAGCTGCAATTAAGGAGTATAGATAGCAAAGTGTTCCCGATAAGCTTGCTTTGTAATTATTAGCGGCTTGTGTCGTTTTTAGTATGGAGGATTATTTCACTTTCTCTGGTCATAGGAGTAACAACATGAATTGGTGCATGAGGCAGAAATAATGCAGTGCACTTGAGTTTTCGCCATCAGCTGGAAGACTGTGTCCCCTTTTCTCAGCGGAGGGAGGGAGAGCGGAGGGACAGTGAGTCGGATGAGAGGCGGCCTCACCGCTGCTCCCTCCCTCCCCTCAGACTGACCATCAGATGCTGGTCATCAGTCCAGTAAAAAAAATATATATATTATGCTCACTCAGCTGTGCCTCACAAGTAATACAACAAATGATCTATTACCAGTGTGATCATATACTTATGTTTAAATATAATATAATTTCAAAATGGTCTGAGAAGAACAACATTAGCAGGGCAATTCAAGTATAGCCAATATGCAGTGATAATGTATTGGGTCTATGTTCTACTGCACAAACCTCATTGCTACAGCACTGTTTTGAATTGGTTAATGTTGCATAGGCTTACGTTTTTTAAGTCGTATTTAAAAAAAAAAAATCTGAGCGGTAGATCTCGGCTTGCATTTTGACTCAGAAAGTGATCTTGACTCAGAAAAGATTGGTGACCACTGTTTTAGAGCATTGTTTATTGTTCATTTTAACAGTAAATATTAACATGACAGAAATATACACATAGTATAGAATACAAAATACAGTACATATATCAATTGTACTGTTTGTACTGTTTGATATAATGTCACACTGTTAAGAAAATCACAATGTTTTTAAATTAACCATTTCAAAATATCTGGACAGAAACATCAGCATTTACATTCAATCAACTGAATATTTACATGATTTACAGTGCCTTGCAGAAGTATTCATCCCCCTTGGCGTTTTTCCTATTTTGTTGCACTACAACCTGTAATTTAAATTGATTTTTATTTGGATTTCATGTAATGGACATACACAAAATAGTCCAAATTGGTGAAGTGAAATGAAAAAAGTAATTTGTTTCAAAAAATGCAAAAAAATTAATAACGGAAAAGTGGTGCGTGCATAGGTATTCACCCCCCGTGCTATGACGCCCCTAAATAAGATCTGGTGCAACCAATTACCTTTAGAAGTCACATAATTAGTTAAATAAAGTCCACCTGTGTGCAATCTAAGTGTCACATGATCTCAGTATAAATATACACCTGTTCTGAAAGTCTGCAACACCACTAAGCAAGGGGCACCAACAAGCAAGCGGCACCATGAAGACCAAGGAGTTCTCCAAACAGGTCAGGGACAAAGTTGTGGAGAAGTACAGATCAGGGTTGGGTTATAAAAAAAATATCAGAAACTTTGAACATCCTACGTAGCACCATTAAATCCATTATCAGAAAATGGAAAGAATATGGCACCACAAAAAACCTGCCAAGAGAGGGCCGCCCACCAAAACTCACGGACCAGGCAAGGAGGGCATTAATCAGAGAGGCAACAAAGAGACCAAAGATAACCCTGAAGAAGCTGCAAAGCTCCACAGCGGAGATTGGAGTATCTGTCCATAGGACCACTTTAAGCCGTACACTCCACAGAGCTGGGCTTTACGGAAGAGTGGCCAGAAAAAAAAGCCATTGCTTAAAGAAAAAAATAAGCAAACACGTTTGGTGTTCGCCAAAAGGCATGTGGGAGACTCCCCAAACATATGGAAGAAGGTACTCTGGTCAGATGAGACTAAAATTGAGCTTTTTGGCCATCAAGGAAAACGCTATGTCTGGCGAAACCCAACACCTCTCATCACCCCGAGAACACCATCCCCACAGTGAAGCATGATGGTGGCAGCATCATGCTGTGGGGATGTTTTTCATCGGCAGGGACTGGGAAACTGGTCAGAATTGAAGGAATGATGGATGGTGCTAATTACAGGGAAATTATTGAGGGAAACCTGTTTCAGTCTTCCAGAGATTTGAGACGGGGGGGGGGGGGGGGGGGCGGGGGGGGACGGGGGGGGGGGGGGGGGGGGGGGGGGGGGACGGGGGGGAATAGTTATGCATGCTCAAGTTCTGTTTTTTTGTCTTATTTCTTGTTTGTTTCACAATAATAAAAAATGTTTGCATCTTCAAAGTGGTAGGCATGTTGTGTAAATCAAATGATACAAACCCCCCAAAAATCCATTTTCATTCCAGGTTGTAAGGCAACAAAATAGGAAAAATGCCAAGGGGGGTGAATACTTTCGCAAGCCACTGTATTGTACAATGATGATATCAATGAAACATGATTAAGGTACATGAAAATATGGAAATTCTTGGAACAATGGGACAACATTGTGATAGGTGGGTGACTTAACCAGCAGGGAGAGACAACGTCCTGCCTTGCATGTTAACCGAAATCCAGCCAGTGTAACACACACTAGCCAGGATCCAAACAGAATTCAAGACATTTAAGACATTGTTTAGACATTACACAAGCTCACAGAATGCCTCTATATACGGCGTACCGATAACCCTCTCACACTTGCACATGGGACCTTGGTGAGACTCACTCATTAGATTTCGGTG